TTCCCTCTCCAAGCCACTAGAAATACATATAAACAAATGCATTTCAAATTACCTAGAAAAGCTCAAGCTTTTCCATAGTAATCAGTCTGGGTTTAGAAAGTTTCATTCTTGTCACACTGCTCTGATTAAGATGAATGAAAACTGGCTTAAAAATATTAACAAAAACCTACTCTGTGGCTCGCTGTTTGTCGATTTCAGAAAAGCCTTTGATTCTATTGATCACACCATACTTCTTAAAAAACTAATTCCATACAAATTCCACGACTTTACAGTTAGGTTACTTCACTCCTTTTTATCTAACCGATCTCAACGCGTGTTTCACCTCAATACCATCTCTTCACAGAAATATGTTAATATAGGGGTTCCACAGGGCTCAATCTTAGGTCCTTTACTTTTTTCTTTATACATTAATGATCTTCCATTACATATTGACGCTGGTCAGTGCGAGATGTTCGCTGATGATACTTCTTTGCATGTCTTTGCAGACAGTGCTGAGTCACTCAGTTACAAACTTCAAACATGTGCCAATCAGCTTGCTACTTGGACAAAATTTAACAAAATGAGACTTCACCCCGATAAAACCAAGTCAATGTTTATTACAACTCATCAGAAACGCCTTCGTCTTCCATCCACCGCATTAAACATTACTATAGACAATTCAAACATTGAACAGGTAGACAGTTACAAATGCCTAGGATTGTTTATAGATCACAACCTCACTTGGTCTGACCATATTCATTTTCTAAGAATGTCCTTATTAAAGACAACCTTTCAATTAGCAAGGATAAAGAACTTTCTCAACTATAGGAGCAGGCTGGTTTTTTATGAGGCTTTTATTCAATCCAGGTTGGATTATGCTTCTGTAGTGTGGAGCGGCAGCTTTATATCTAAGCAGCGTCCTCTTCTTTCTTTACAAAAAAGGGCTATAAAACTGGTTTCTGGCTTGTCTAGTAGTCTGGATTCTTTTCTTACTACTAAAATACTTCCATTAAATAAAAAGATAATATATACTAAATCAATTTTCTTATATAAAATATTCCACGAAACAGCCCCCTCTTACTTATCAGATCTATTTTCTTTTAACATAAAATTAAATCGTCGTCTTAATTTACCATTCCCTTATTCAACCTTTTTCCAAAAACATAGCTTCGCCTACTCTGGTTCTAATTTGTGGAACAATCTTCCTAATAAAATAAAGCTATCTAGATCTGAAAATATATTCAAATCTAAATTAAAACTAAAATTATTTAATGACCTAACTGACTCATTGTAACATTTCTCATTCATCTATTATATTCTCTTTTTTATCTCATTATGTATGATAGCTATGTACCATTGTTTCTTTATTCCACGTTTTCAGTGCTATGTGTTACTGCTATGTGTTATTGAATTGCTTTATTTGTTTAAACGGCCAATGTGAAAAAAGGCCTTTGAGCCTACAATTGTAACCTTTGTTTGAATAAATTTGAATAAATTTGAATAAATTTGAATCCAATAAATATAGCTCAAACTATATAGGGCGTGAGGGTGGGGGTGAGGGGACGATTCGGTAAATTGTGGGAACATTATTTATTATCTATTACATGTAACACGTTTCTTATTACACAATCAGGGTATATTAATTCAAATGGAATATTTTGCCGACGTGTTTTCCTGAAACCTTCCTGTCTATTCTTAAAAAATGTCGTAGCCAAGTTATGTATTGGCATTAAATCAATTTACGTCAACCCAAGAACAACTAATTCAATATATTGATTGTAGCTGAAAATCAATAATGCAATTAAAACCTGAACTATCCAGATATTGATTTAAAAGTAACGATCCGACCCACGCGCCGCTATTTAGGTGTTTTATTTTCTACATTTCAGTAATTCATAATTTGTAAATTCGACACTACCAATGCAGCGATTGAAAATATCTATATATATAATTCTCCTCTTCGAGCCGTTAGAAAACAAGCTGCAAACGCTCTCCCTACCTCCCCACCCCTACATGGTTTTAGTGAGCTGTGTTCACTCTAAATGTTTACAAGCAGAGCCAACGATTTTAAACGTAGGGGGGGGGGGAAGGAAGGGGGGGTGGTTATATTCCTTAACGAGCTACTTATAGTGTTTTAAAGAAATATTTTCAGTGTCAGCGTTGGTACTGTCGAATTCACAAATTATGAATTATTGAAAATTAGAAACAACAAAATAGCGGCGTATGTTATGCCGCGGGCCGGCTCGTATGCTATAAAACACTATCAGTAGCTCGTGAAAGACGATTATCCCCCTTTCCTCCCCCACCCCTACCACTCCCCCCTCGGGAAAGCAGCCACCCCTTAGTTACCTTCCTTAGTTTCAAATCGTTTAAAAACTAAATTATCTGTCCCTAATATTCGTCACCAATTTGACCTGGCTCTACGATTGTAATCAGAGGAAGGGAGTGGGGTAGTGTTGAATTCACAAATTATGAAATGCTAATAAGCAGAAAATAAAAACAACTAGATGGCGGCGTATGCTACGTCGCGGGTCAGCTCGCATAACATACAAGGCAAGAAACATAAACAGTAGCAAAACACTCAAGAAAGGTAACTCTTATATTATATCAGTCTGATACTATACAAATACTTAAGACTGGTAGATTCCCCTTGTAAGCTGAGTGTCTAATTGGAACCAACACCTAGTGCTCATCGATGGCAACCGTTAAAATAATATTCATCTGATGTTAGGTAGTGACTAAACATCATAAGTCGATTGTGATCCAGACATTCGACACTCACCTCACCATAAATACATGAACTTAAGCTAATAAATTTGAATTTGTTATAGATGTCACTTTTGATAAAGTATTTTTCTCAAAAGTTATGTAACACTACCACAGTGGAGATGTGGTATAATGATCTCCCACTAAGGTGTAGTGTGTTTTCGGGCTGACCCTGACAGGCAACAAACACAACATTGCTGCTTGTTTCTGGATTCTTAGTTATTGCATACACAGCATTGCACAGAATAGTACAGTTGCAAGTACATAGCTAGGTAGGTAGATAAATTGCAAGTACAAGTCCATTTAGCTCTAAATCAAATTTAAACAAACAATAGATTACATATTTGAATACACAATCACGTGAAGGCTATAAAATAAATACACGGGTGTCGAGTCTCACCAAACTAGCAGCCTCGTCATAAAATAATGCAATAGAATGTGTTATGGATAGTATGACAGCATACAACCAACAAGTATTATAAAGATAATTAACTTCACATATATAGTCCGCAACATGCGACACAAGTATGACAATAAATCAAGTAATATAAAATTACAATACCTTGATTAGGTCTTTATATAAACTGGTTAACCTATGCCCATGTCAGCAACTGAACTGTCCTGGTCATCCGCAGACTGGGGTTTGAGTGCCAGTTGACACAGTTGCAACTCCCCAGAGTCCCAGAGGTCGCATGACATGGGAAACACGGGGAAACTTTGCTCACCCAAAGGAGCCGCAACCAAATATGTCTTAAATTATCTCCCATGACAGGTAACCCATGATATGTGTTATAGTTATATTGATTTTTTTTCTTTACCTCAGGAAAACAAAATCTTTAATTATTTGGATGCACGGGTTGTCTATTGTGCTACTGACAATAGCATAGAATTTAAAAAATAAAAGCAGACATTTTTTTTATAAAATATCAATATTTTTAAAAGATAAAAGATAAAAAAATACATTAATTATGATTAAAGATTTTTTTCCTTTACCCGTTTTCTATCAAAGCTTATACAAAATTATGCCCGAAAATCACCATTTAACAAATGTGTTAAAAGATTTATTTTGATCTCAAAAAAAATAAAGCTTTAAATTCAGAATTTTGTTTGAAACATCTATTGTCGTATTTCTTCTTTATACTTTAAACTAGGTGCACTTAAATGACAGTAAAGTAATGAAGTATGATTGACATCTCTATCAAGAAATAAACTACAACAAACACTTTGAAAGTGTTCGCACAAAAAACTTGATTTTTGTTCTTTATCTACTTACATTGACAAACAACATAAAAGTTGGCGTGTGACTGCCGGAAGTTTGCCTATGTGGATCCCCAAGTGACACACAAATTTAAGTAACATCAAACGGACAACTTTCTTAAAATTTAATCCTACATTATACTACAGTGCACTAACGATGGTTAGAGAATATGAGAATTGTTCGTTTAATAAAACGAATGCAATATAGAGTTTGAAATGAACAAAAGGATAAAAATATTGGAAGAATTTTTAACTTCTCATTTAATGTAGACTACAGTATCAAGCAAAGACAAAAAGCTGGAATGTTTAGTAGTAATTTATTTTATAATGTTATCACACATTTTAAAAACACTTAGTTTATTCTTAAATAAATAAGATCAATAGAAAATGGTAAATTTGTCTAAGAATGTTATCATTGTGCTGAATATATACGAAACTGGACCCTAAGAAACATAATTTTACACCTGAATATATCAAATATTTATTTCATTTTAAAACACTATAAAAAAAGACACATTTGATGATCTGATAAAATTAGTATTTTAGTATTACAAAACCACTAGTTAAAATCAGTTAAGTAATTTAACAAAATAAACAACTAACTAAGTAACTATAACTGTATCATATTAAGTATCATATATTAGTTAAACTAATCAAAATGGTTTCATCTACATTTTTATGAATATAAAAAATAACAAAAATTAAAATAAGAGAGAATTAGTGTTTTAATAATAATAATAATATGTATTTAATTACGATGGTGGTGGTTACCACTTTTGTTTTAATTTATAGATATTTTAGTTTTCATTTCACAACTACTGAAGTGGTCTTATTTTCCTTCACAACTGCTGAAGTAGTCTAATTTTCTTTCACAAATACTGAAGTGGTCTTATTTTCATTTCTCAACTACTGGCGTGGTCTAATTTTCATTTCACAGCTACTAACGTAGTCTAATTTTAATTTCACAACTACTAACGTGGTCTAATTTAATTTCACAACTACTGACGTGGTCTAATTTTCATTTCACAACTACCGACACTGTCAAAGTTTCCAGTGATACTTTGCCACATTAAACCCTTGCTGTTGACCTGACTTTTCCACACACCGTTCAGATGGACGGTGTGGCATCTGTTGTACCACCACGCCCCGCGGTGCAAGATGGCGCAGCTAAAGTTACCACCGTTGTCGTTGTCCACATCGTACGTGGAGAATTTTTGGTTGTTGTTGTTGTTCGCGGTGAAGGAATCTTTGGTTGACCCCATGTAGCCGTTGACAGATAGCTTGTACATTTGTATTTCAGATGAGAGTGTAAAGTTTGAGTAATACGCATAATAGCTGGTCCCTTTGTAAGTCATGTCAATGCGTAGCTCGTGAGGATACATAACGTTAAGACAGTAGGTGTTCTCATTGCCCAGGTAAAAGTCTCCAATCTTGTAGTCCCCAAACCCGTACTTGTACTCCGTCCAGTTTCTGTAGAAGTCGATTGATCCATAGACGCGACGCTGGAAAATTGTCCAGCCGCCTCCATCTGTCACAGTGTCGCACATGACGACAAGACCAGACGACAGTTGGATCAGTTGTCTTGGTAGTGTCGAGTTCTTCACATCTCGACAAGACTTGAAGACGTTTGGACTTTCAGCTACAAGAATTTCTTTCTGGACAGCATTCACCATTCCTAGAGCAATTAAAATATACTAGTGTTACGTAATGATGGGTTTGAATTTTGTACGCAAATCGTTCTTTTTGCATTGACTTTTTTCTTCTCTTAGTAGTTACTATATATTTTTATTTGCAATATTTTGTTTTCGTTTTCAAAACGAGCTACTGCAATTGTTTTTTTTTCTAGGATAATTAATATATATGTATTACAAGAATGAACGTCTTTGAAGTTTATAGAAATTGTTATAAAAGTTAACAGATTGTGCGTAAAAAGTTTATAGAATGTATTAGTTAAAAAAATGTAAAACTGCGTTAAAAATGTATAGAAAATTTTTTGCAAGTTTATAGAAAACATTTGAAAAGTTTATAGAATGTATGATGAAAAAAAATGGAATGTGTTTTAAAATTTTAGAGAAAGTGTTTGACAGTCTTATGGAACGTGTTTAAAAAAATTATAGAACAAAATGTTAAAAGTTTACAGGAAATGCTTTAAAATACAGAATGTATGTGAAAAATGTATAGAACAAACTTTAGAAGTTTATAAAACATGTTTTAAAGGATTATAGAACACATTTTAATGTTTCTAAAACGTTTTAAAATACTATAGAACATATTTTAATATTTATAGAATTTATTAAAATATTCTAGAACATATTTTCAAATATTGAAGACCTAGACAAGCAGCCGTGTTACACGAACCCATCCTGCCATTCCCTACTGACGTCACCAACTCTTGTACATTGCAGTACATTCCCTTGCTGTAGAGTCTGGTGGTGCTGGCAGCTTGTGTTATATTGAGGGCAGCCGTTGGCAGAAGCCAGGAGCCTGCAGACGACAGTTCATAATAGGCTTTTAAACCTAGCAAACACGGCAAATTATTTCAACAAATATGATAAAATAACTTAACACATACTTAAATAACTTAACAAACATGTTAAATAAACTTAACAAATATGAAAAACTAACGTAAAACCATGTTATAGGAAATAGTTGAAATTTAAATTGCTAATCTTAATGAAGTAAATAAAAAGAAAATGTCAATAAGAAAGCGAAAGTTATATAAAAGAAGTATTTTATTCCTTATATATCTAACATAATTGAGTTGATGATTTACCTTGTGTACAGATTTTGCTCGTATTGTCGTACATATAGTTGTAGCATTCGTCTGGGTGTTCGGCACATTTGGCGGCACACACAAAACTACTGGGAGTTGTGAAGGTTTTGTTGTCTAGAGGCAGTAGCACAGTTTGAGTAGAGTCACGTGACGTATAGCGGCCAATGACGAGATCACACGTCACAACTGTTGAACAACACACGTGTCATTTTTAACTCATGAATGTGATGTTGTTTTTTTAACCAACAAAAGCTAAACACTAATTTAAACAGAAACACTCGGGCACGCGTTTCATAGATGTGTGCTTTTTATGTAACAATGGGTTTGTATTGAATGAGTTCTGGGAGTGGGAAAAGTTGAGTAAATTAAACTTATGATACTAAAACACGCCACAAAATTCAGCATATCACACGGAATACGTTAAAATATTTGCCTATTAATATTTGGTGTCGAGTGAACTATAATAAAATATGAAGTTACGAAGCAGCGACCATAATTTATACACATAATTCACAAACAAAATGGAATCAAATAAATGTACATTTAAAATGCTAGCTAACATCATACAACATTAAATTAACATACCAAAGACGCTTTACTTCGACATACTCTCACCACACCACAAGACAAAACAACACAGTCACACGAAATATCATATTTATATGCTATTTAATTACACATATACACCCATAGGCTACACAGATATTTAAATAATTACTTTGCAATATCACAAAAAGGATGATAAAAATATCCATGAGAATTAGATAAGCCATTACAAATGATTAGAAAAACTGAAATCAACTTATAGAATGTTTGGTTTATAGTTGAGTATAAACGGATTTTCATACTATCATTCCAACATACTGCTGGCCTAAGAATAAATTGGTAAATGAATGTGTCAAGAATTTACTGTTTGAATTTTGACCTTTGATCAAACAAACCTAAAGAAAAATAAGTGCTTTGTTCAACTTTTTCATTCGCTTTGATTTATCTAAGTATTCACACCAGCTGTCAATCATCTTTTCTCTCAACTTTTGACATTCAGATCAAATCTGCTCTGTATTCAGATACCAGGGACGTTTAAAGTTTTTTTTGTCTGACTGCGATCGGATGTAAATACAAAAATTTCTAAAAAGTGTAAACATTTGCTTAGTCAGCTGTTTTCAATTTTAATTGTAATTTTAATTGCGACAGCGAAGAAGCGTTTGAACGCCTGTTGTACTGTTGCTATAGACAACATCTATTGTTTATGTTACATTATTTAAACAGACACAGTTCTCTGAGTTAACCTTAGTACTTTATTCTTTATTCAGACGACTATTTGTACACATCAACTACACATCGCGGAATAAACAGTGAACACATAAGGGACATAACCATGATATAAATAATACAAGGGACGTAACAGTTTAAACTTTTGCAAAGCCACTAAAAAGTTTCGAAAATGTGAATAACGGTATAGTTCTGTCTTTAAAAATATTTGATCTACTTTTTTTCTGTACGTTTGTCCCATTAAAGCATGTTCATTTTAAACTGTATGCTTATTATTAATTTCCCGTCAACATACTTGTATACATCTACCACTTAAAATGAGTTTTTATTAAACTGTTTTAAAGCGTTCTAAAATCGATTGATGTGATATTTGGAGATGTGATGTTTTGAGATTCCTGATGACGAACATAATTCACAAAAAAATCAATTAACCTATATTCAGGAAATTTATTAATCTGTAATTAGTAAATTTGAATCTAACTGTAAAATGAGATGTTAGAAAGCCACTGAAATGAACACGGTTTGACGGTTAAACACGCCAGAAGATAAAAAATGTACTCAACACGGAGTTGACTGGTTGAACATTTCATCCTTGTGATGTAAGACAGGTGAGAAATGTCACACGGCTACCCTTCTGATTAGGTTGTTATTTATCAACAGAAATACTGGATGTGTTCTAAAGTGTTACACGAAATTCGGTTACCACTGGGGACAGTTAGATAAACAAACTAGTACAATAAAGTCAATTTACCACAGACGGACAGACGGACGGTCAGAAGGAAAGACATTGTGCGAGTGTGACCTACTTAGGTCTAGTCATGTTTTATTTTTAGTTCGACAGTGTTATAATACCATATATGGATTGATGGTGCAACAACCGGGTTTTTTCCACTGTCTTATTAAGAGTGTCTAAGACTAAGAAATTTTCCATCAAGATCTGATTGATTGATTCAGATCAGATGACCATCCCAACCAATGGCCACATGAGTTGAGGATAACCTCCCCTGTTGCCTAAGTCTTTAACTAGATCGCACACAGGCAGCACGAGGCAGTCCATCTTGACCAGGCCGTCCATCTTGTCCGGCAATCCATTCTGACCATTTGAACGTGAGAGAACTTAAGTCCTGAGTGTGCTATGCATTCCTAAGTTGTTTAAGTGTTCTACTATTATATTACTGGTCGCCAAGTGATTCTTGATGCTATAGCAGTGTTGTGTGACCTGTGGCTATTTTTATACAGTGTTAGAATCTGTGATAGTATTTTTTTCTTACGCTTTGTAAGTTGGGTTATGTTATTTTCTAAACTAAATATTTTATCTTGTTTAACCTTGTGTTCTGCCACAACTGTGTTCGCTTATTAAAGGTTGTATGCAGATTGAATGAGTTGTTAACTTCAATAGTTTCACTAGTTTTCCCTAGACATCGAAATCGAGCCCTAGTGAGTTGTTGAGTTAGTGTTCATTCATTTAGGCTTTAGGTCATTTGCATATAACCCCAAGAAAGAATCCGGGGGGCGTTCACCATCTATCTGGCTGGTAGATAGGTGTCCGTTACACGAGTTCGTCAAAATAATTAAACATTTTGATATATACTGTTTATAGTTTGTGTTTTACTAGAAATCAATATGTATTGTATGAGAATAAACTTCCTTTTAAATTAAAGGCTTTTTACTAAGTTTGCTCAAAAACATCCTGGATTAAATCTCCCCCTCGCCTAATCCCCCCCCCCCTACAACTCGTGATTTAGATTTAAATAAAGGAAACCAAAAAGCGACCAAACAAAATAAAATTATTTAAAAAGACAACCAAACTAAAATATTAATTTTTTAAATGTAGAAAGCTCATTACTTAACAATGTGGCGCTATTAAGTTAATGTAATCACTAAAATTAAAATTCTGGCGCTGTTATCGATGAAAATAAAAAAAAAACATTCATTAATGAACGTGTTTCTCTGCCGATATAATCGTGAAGGTCCCTCAACTAGTAGCATGTCCAGAAACGTATGTCTGTAATCAATTGCTACCACCACTTGACGAAGTGTAGGTCCTGACGTCGTTTATCTAAGATATAATGAAACAACCACTTGACGAAGTATTATTTTTTGCCATTTAACAATATATTGGAATTGTTATAAATAAAAATGTAGCTCTTTTTATCATATGCTATAACATAAGAAAAACGATATAATTATAATTTTAAAAAGTAAAATTTAAAAGCAGGTGACAGATCTTTTGCCAGGCAACTCTTCGGGTGGGGAGGGGAGGGGGGGGGGGGGCTCTGCCATTGTTTGATGACCCTGGCAGATCGCAGCAGGATGTGAAAACAAACATTTACAAGATTTAAACCTTTTTTCTACCGGGTCTTTCGTTTATGGCTCGTCGCTTTCAACTACCTGGTGGGTAACAGGGTCCAAGTGGGGGCCTGTGACGTGGGTGTCTGTGTTGTATAGGGTGTAGTTAGGTTGGTGACGTGGGTGTCTGTGTTGTCTCTCACCACACTTTACGCTCTCTTTTGAATTAAAACTCTATGAACGATATGATTCCCATAGAACACGACGTTCCCGCTATTCTTAAGGCTCCCGCCTACCACTAGGATCTTTCCTCACATTTAACGCCTGCAGCACAATCAGAACACTGGGCCGCCCTAGCAAAACTATGCATTTTTGGTATTTAAGAATAATAATTTGTTGTGCGCCATATTGTCGGAAGCCATTAGTGGATATTGGAATTTTCGAGAGTCTTATTTAGAGTCAGAAGATTGCCCAGTTTCTCGTGACTCTTTAGCTGTGTGTATGTATGTATGTATGTGTGTGTGTATGCATGTGTGTTGGGGGGGGGGGGGGTGTTGGTTAAGTTGGATCCTGTCGCCAAACTTTCAAGTATCGGGGCTGTGTTGGTTTCAAATCTTCGTACATTATGTTAATGAGCTCTTCATTCATTTGTTTGTCGATATTAAGAATATTCCCTTCGTCAATGTGTACTTTAAATTCTGCCGTTTCAATATTTCTAGTTTTGGTTCTTCTGCTTGTAACTTGGTTTTTATTTCTTTTATTTCTCGTTCATGTTCGTGGTTTTTCTCTCTCCCTTGCTACCTGTAATTTCTTTTCAGCCATTATTTGTCTGATATCTTTATCTATTTATTTTTTCTTCAACTCTCTTTCCTTCAGTTCAAATTCCTTCTCTGTTTTAATTCTTTCAAGTTCCCTCTTGGCCTCAATTTCCATTTGTTTTAAATTTATTTCTAGCTGGGCATCTATCGTTTTTCTAATGCCACCAGTCCGCTTTTACTCCGACATTTTTTACGTTCTTTGCCAAGGGGTCAAAGCTCAAACTCGTGTTGTGTGAGTTCTGAATGTTGCAGGGGCCCCCAATCTGTTACACTCACCTTCTTAGGTATTTTGGGCTAGTTTGAGCCAGATGTAACAATTATAAATAAATACAGACCACAACAAGAATCTATATCATGGATGTATAATTATCGTCACACACAAGAACATATCACAAGAAGAAAAACTAAAAGGGTAGCTACATGATGTTGACGCCACACCACATTGCTTCACGCACTGCCTCGTTCACAAACTTTGTTCCGCTAGCAAACCGCTTTCAATGGGAGGCTGATCTCACACACACTCTCTCCGTGCCTACACATTTTCGTTATAGACAATATACGTCACAACACAAATATTTCTGCTTTTACCCATTGATTCTTGAATTTGATATCTTATTAAAGGAAGAATGAGCTTATTTTCAAACCATTTATAGTCATTGATTATAGTTTATATTTAACAATATATTCAAATAAGTTTGAAAATTAGAGAAAAGTCACTTTACATCTTCAGGTTAGTTTATAAATATTTTAGAGCGCCTGTATCATTGTATTTGTGAGTGGGTTTGATTTTGTGGGTTTTCCCCGCAGGTAGGTTGTAAACTATAAATAAAGAAGTGGTATTAACATTGCACCTGATAGCAAAGGGTAGGGGCTGGGTAAACGTGGGTTGTTTACATTGACAGTGTGCAGGTATTTTATGCCCAAATTGGGTCAGGCGGGATTGTTCATGTCATTGTTAAGTGTTCGAACGTAACATAATATTTTAATTTACTTCCGTGTTATTCCAGTCTCTAAAATGAATATCCTGGTACCTTGTGTAAATAAAATAGTTCCCTGAGAGATTTTACAGCCCACTCGCGTCCTAGTTTACTTTGTATAAGAAGTCAAAGTTTCAGGAGTATATCATTTAGTGTTAGACCAGCTGAATAGCTGCTGACGTAAGTTTTTGTGAATACGTTTCAAGCAGATATTTATGCTAATTATGTTCCGAACAACATATTTGAAATAGTCAAAATGTTAATAACCATAGGTTGATTGACATGTTCTATTACAAAAGTCTGCCTAGTTGATGTGAATCATTGTAAAAGTCTGCCTAGTTAGTGTGTAAGATTATAACGTAACACAGCAACTTGTGAACTGCCTTGAAGTTCAAGATGCACCTAATGAGATTAGACTTTTTAAAATATTCTTGCCATGATAAAAACATAACTTTTGTCAATTTAGTATATATCTATAATTGGTTCATTCAAGGAAATTATTAAGTAAAAATTTATTTCAGCAGTAAGAATCATGGGCAATATACTTGCAAGGCTAGTTCTTTCTAAAGGTAACATTTACCAAAGAAAATTCTTAATGACAGATAACATCTGTTAAAGAACATTATTGTAGGATCGATTTTATCTCTAGGTGACTCATATTTATCTCTAGCAAAGTAGCTAGTTCTTGAATTATAACTTTCATCAGCTAATCATTGCTAATGAAAATTCTAATATATTTAAGAGTAGCTAAAGAATATGACACATGACATAGAAATATACTGATCAGATGTATACATTAGCTCTAGTACCAAATTTTATTAAAAGCTGACACAATTTAACTAACCGTTGTTTATTGCATTTACTTTCGCACATTCAGTGGACTATGTTTTTGAAGACAGTGATGATGCCATCAAAAAGCAAAGAAGTCTTGCAGGGGACTTTATGGCAGGTAAATGTCACAATCTTCATTTGAAAATGTGAAGTATATTGAATTTCGTTCTGATTCACATGTTTTGATTTATTGCACACTGTCTTTAAAATATTGAGAGATTTCATTAGTGACATGTGCTCTACTAAACAAAACAAGTTTGTTTCGCCATCTTTCTTATTTTCAGTGCATATAAGAACTTTGTAATATAGAGCCTTCACATTTTTCATTTGTTTTTCATAAGAAAATATATCTGGAGATTTTTAAGTTCTAAAAATGATCTCGCAATGTCTGGCACGATAATTATTTAAAATGTTTTCTCGTTTTGACTTTCTAGGAAAACACGATGCTGAACTTTGCACTGGAGGTGAAGCTGACCTACGCAAACACTACAAGAGGTATAAGAAGAATCCTGGTTATGTCAACTTTATACCTGTTAATGATTTTAACTTCGATCATCTCCCCTCACGGTGCCGTGACGTCATCATGTTGGAGGCAATCAAAGCTTACTCTGCACTAACGGTTATGATAAAGGTTAGGTTCACCAGTCTAGAGAGACCAAAGTCTGCTAAATGCTTTGCGGGTAATTATCCGTTTTATAAAAACAAAGGGAAAGAATATTTGAGGACAGGGACGGATTAATCTACGATGTGGCCAAGTTCACAGAAATTGATTGCATGGGTCCATGTCCATGTGGCACGTGTCGACAGGCAGGCAGACAGAGGAAAGTGTGGGGGGAGATTCGTGTGTTGACAGCCACACACGTGGTGTTTGATAACAGTGAGGTGAGACGGACAGTGTGTGTTGTAGGTTTTGATGATGATGAAAGTCTTGGGGTCAGTGTTGACGGCTGGAATTTAGGACAGACAAACGTTAAAGGAGACTGGTGTAAGTTTTCGTGTGTGTCATGTGACTTAGAGTTTGTTGATAAACTGGGTAAGATGTGTCGGCAATTTGAGGATCTTCGTGAAAAAGTAAGGGACAAGTTACAGAGAAGTGATGATGTTGAACAGTTGACCGTCATAGTGTCACATCCTCATGGATGTCCTAAACAGGTCTCTGTAGGACAATGTACAGACCAGGGAAGAAATGCTTGCCACATGTCCACTAAATACATGTACACAAATTGTGCATGTCCAGGCTCCAGTGGAGCGGCTGTTTACATTCCTGGATTCGACTGGAGGTATAACCCCCACAGTGGATCAAGCGATGAAGGAAATTTCAGTGGGGATTTTTGTTAATCTCGCTTTACCGAAGTTTTTTCTCTCGATTATCTACACAATGGAAACAAACAAATTAGCCAGTCATTTCATAATTCAAAATGTTTGTGTCAAGTTGTGTATGTTATTATCTATTTATAGTTATCAAACATTTGATTAAAGTCTTCAGTTATTGTTAATTTACAAATATAAATATTTTATCTATTGACTTAAAATTTGGCCCAACCACATATAATTGTCTTAATGTAAGTGCATTTAGTAAGGCCTCATTTTTGTTGTATTTGATTGTTAACACAATGTTATGTTTATTACAATAAATTTTACGAACACTCAATCGGAATCCTTTTTTAAAATTCTTTTATCATTGATAATGTTAAAGTTTTTGTAAAAAATAAATTAATTAAATAACACTCTAAGAAGTAGAACTATTAGGACGTCGCTGAAACTTAACGAAATTTTGACTTATTTTGCTTAAACAATCATCACTATCGACAAGATCGGGACAAACGTTTCAGTAGATTATTCTTTGACTATTTCAATGATCAATGTGACACTCTACTAGAAACCTTTTTTTTTGAGATCTCTGATTTTGATAAAGTTTGCAAAGAAAAGCGAACACTAAACACGAACAAATAAAACAAAGTCTTTCTTCTACCAGACGACAAGTCTGGGTAAGACGGGTGGACAGCAAGACTGGGTAAGTCGGGTAGACGGCAAGCCTAGGTGAGTCGGGCAGACGGCAAGCCTAGGTTAGTCGGGCAGACGGCTAGCCTAGGTAAGTCGGGCAGACGGCAAGCCTAGGTAAGTCGGGCAGACGGCAAGCCTAGGTAAGTCGGACAGACGGCAAGCTTAGGTTAGTCGGGCAGACGGCAAGCCTAGGTTAGTCGGGCAGACGGCAAGCCTAGGTAAGTCGGGCAGATGGCAAGCCTAGGTAAGTCGGGCAGACGGCAAGCTTAGGTTAGTCGGGCAGACGGCAAGCCTAGGTAAGTCGGGCAGACGGCAAGCCTAGGTTAGTCGGGCAGACGGCAAGCCTAGGTTAGTCGGGCAGACGGCAAACCTAGGTTAGTCGGGCAGACGGCAAGCCTAGGTAAGTCGGGCAGACGGCAAGCCTAGGTAAGTCGGGCAGACGGCAAGCTTAGGTAAGTCGGGGAGACGGCAAGAATGGGTTAGATGGGGAGACGGCAAACCAAGGTAAGTCTGGGAGACGGCAAGACTGGGTAAGTTGGGGCTCTAGTGAGCATTTGATTGGTTGAATTGTAAAGCGAGATTTAAGAAAAAAAAAGATCTTAAAAAATGAAATGGTCCAAACTACTAAACATTTGGGGGAAACGTTGAAATAATAAAACGAAACTGGAAATACAATGATGGTCAGGAAACGATACAAAAACTCGTAGGTTGGTATAGGGAATACATCAGAAATATACACCATAGCAGATCAGATTTGGAGGGTAGCAAGGATTCGTTCGTGGACTGTCTTCCGAATGGGACATAGAAACTCGACATTCGTTTTCTGATCCGCATTCTGATAATTCTTCAACTGAAACCAGTGGCATTGCATCCCTATTTATCCCAAGTGGTATCAAATCTTTCTATTACACGTCAGAATACAAGTCTAGTATTTGTTTTATTAAAAAAAAAGTAGGTTCGGGACGGAGCCGAACCAACTGAAGTTCCAGACTTGCCAAATATCAAAACAGAAGTATAAACTCTATGAACATTTAGCTTCGTGTTGTGTGGGTCAAATGTTTATAGGCTGTCGGATTTAACCGTCAAATACTTTTATTTAAACTTGCTTCATTTCGGTGTCGTTCTCATTTAATTTCTAAAAAATTAAATTTGTTATTTTCACATTAACTAGAGTGATTTATTTTCTAATTATATGCATATTGATATTTTTAAAATGACGTTAAATACTATAATCACTATAGGTAATTACAAACGATTATATAATGCTTTAAACCTATTTGATACAAATCAGATTGAGTGGATAATAGTGTATACTGCCCTTGTAACAAGACCAGAATAATATTCATACCATTTGAAGGGGCAACACACTAACAAAGGAACAGCAAATCTGTCAAGACTAGAGTTAGACTTGTTAGACCATAAGCTATATGGATTATATAAAGCATTTTATATCAAGTTGGTGCTAAATATTAGCTCTGTTTATAAATAAAATTAGCCAACAAAAAAGTTTCTTTATAACTGTAATGCAAGGAAAACTCGGATACCACTACAATCTGAAAAAGAAATTAAATATCAACATAGGCTACTAAATGTTCATAACATTTTCTAGAAAGTACTTTTGGGAAGCATAAGCTTATTTAGCTTACACGTAAATCCGAAACTGAACTAATATAAACATAAAAATATAAGGAATGGAATAATAATTTTATTTGCTCTTTAGCTTTTCTATTCACAACCTCTTCTTAACTTTCTTCAGTAAATTGTTTGCCATTTAAGTTTCAGCAATTTACAATAACATGTCCTTTAAGCTTTTTTAAAATCAAGTTTATAGTTTATTAGTAAGCATATGAGTATTGTCGTCTGCAGGCTACTGGCTTCTGCCAACGGCTGCCCTTAATACACCAGAAGCTGTCAGCACCACCAGACTCTACAGCAAGGGAATGTACTGCAATGTACAAGAGTTGGTGACGTCAGTAGGGAATGGCAGGATGGGTTCGTGTAACACGGCTGCTTGTCTGCGTCTTCAATATTTGAAAATATGTTCTAGAATATTTGAATACGTTCTATAAATATTAAAATTTGTTCTAGAATATTTTTATTACGTTCTATAAACATTAAAATATGTTTTATAGTATTTTTATACATTCTATAAACATTACAATTTATTCTATAATCCTTTAAAACACGTTTTATAAACATTTTTTTTCTATACATTTTACAAAAACATTTTCTATATTTAAAAAAAAATGTTCTATTAACTTTTAAAATATGTGCTATAATTTTTTAAAACATGTTCCATAAGCCTGTCAAATACTTTTTCTAAACTTTTAAAACACATGCTATAAATTTTCAATATACTTTCTATAATTTTTTCAAATGTTTTTGTGTAGACTTGCAAATTTGTTGTATATATTTTTAACGCGGTTTTAAATTATTAAATAATTCGTTCTATAAACTTTTTAAGGCACAATCTGTTAACTTTTAAACCAATTTCTGTAAACTTCAAAGACTTTCATTCTTGTAATATATTTTAATTATCCTAGAAAAAAAAACAATTGCAGTAGCTCATTTGAAAACGTAAACAAAATATTGCAAATGAAAATAAGAACCCTTGTAAAGTAACCGTAATAGTAACTACTAAGAGAAGAAAAAATTCAATGAAAAAGTAAGATATGTATACAATATTTAAACCCATCATTAAGTAACACTAGTATATTTTAATTTCTCTAGGAATGGTGAATGTTTTCCAGAAAGAAATTCTTGTAGCTGAAAGCCCAAACGTCTTCAAGTCTTGTCGAGATTTGAAAAACTCGACACTTCCAAGACAACTGATCCAACTGTCGTATGGTCTTGTCGTCATGTGTGACACAGTGACAGATGGAGGTGGCTGGACAATTTTCCAGCGTCGAGTCAATGGATCAATTGACTTCTACAGAAACTGGACGGAGTACAAGTACGGGTTTGGAGATTACAAGATTGGAGACTTTTACCTGAGCAATGAGAACATCTACTGTCTTAACCTTATATATCCTCACGAGCTACGAATTGATATGATTTACAAAGGGACCAGCTATTTCGCGTATTACTCTAACTTTACACTCTCATCTGAAAAAAAAATGTACAAGATATCTGTCAAAGGCTACTTGGGGACAAAAAAAGATTCCTTCACCGTGAACAACAACCAAGAATTTACCACATATGATGTGGATAACGACAATGTTGGTAACAACAACTGCGCTGTCATGTACCACGGGGTGTGGTGGTACAACGCCTGCCACACCATCCATCTGAACGGTAAAGTCAACAGCAAGGGTTTAATTTGGCAAAGTATCACTGGAAACTACGACAGTGTCAGTTGTTGTGAAATGAAAATTAGACCACGTCAGTAAATGTGAATGAAAATTAGACCACGTCAGTAGTTGCAAAAAAAAATTAGAACACGTCAATAGTTGTGATATGAAAATTAGACAACGTCAGTCAGTAGTTTCTTCAAGGCATCTCTTTGGGGACCCAGTGCCCCCGAAGAAAGTCTACCGTACCCCCAGTTTCCCCCCAACGAAATAAAATTTATATACAAAATATATACTTTTAATAGTATGCACCTCCCCCCACCTTAAATTTTAGCCCCCCCCCCCAAAAAAAAAATTCAACACTCCCCCCCCCCCCCCCGCGTAGAAAATAGTCTGGAGGACACACTGTTTCTCTGTTTAGTTACAACAGATTATCTGCGATATCTGTAGAACTGTAAAATACGTATTTAGAGAATCATCTTTTTTTAAATAGCAAAACGTATAACGCAAATTAATTTAAAGACGTTAAATAATTTATTGATATATTCATAGGTAGAAATACCACTTTATTTAAAAAAGTTCACAACAAATACTTTATATTGACGCTTTACGTTTACTTAGTTCTCACAACAAACAATGGAAGATGGCGGCTTCCATGGAAGACCATGTTGCCCATTCAAAAGTTTAACGCATTATAAAAACACAATAAATTATTGAGTTTATTTATTAAACTTTTTAATTCTTAAATGTTTTAGCTTCACAGATCATCTAATTCGAGAATACAAGGAATTTATCTATAGCTACAGATAAACTAGACTTGAGCCAGTGGTAAATTGTAGACCTAGTTCTAATTCTAGATCTAGACCAATAATGAGTTTATATACAAAACTATTTCAGGCCATAATTATTTTATATAATCTATCCTTATTTTGCAATGGAATTGACTACATTAGGATATAATTAAATATTAAATGCAATTTGCGTAATTTAACTTTATTAATATTATACGATGCTAAGTAAATTACCCCAATAAATTTGCTGGCCTAGATGATATAGCAACAGTTACCATGCGGGTGGTACGGACTCGAGACACTTCATATAAATGTTAATTTTTACTTTCTCGTATATACGAAGTATAGAGAAAGTCTTGTAATCGTGCAAAAAAAAATCGAGATTTTTGTAAATCTCGACGTTTCACACCTCACTGATACGGAAAAACATAATTTTGCAATCTTGTCCGTATGTCTGTGTGTCTGTCTGTCTGTCTGTGTGTAAACACGATTACTTGAGTACCGTTACAGCTAGGTTGATGAAATTTCATATATAAGTATTTTATCAAAATCGTAGATCCGTATCAACTTTTGAGCGATTTCCAATAACCGGGAGTGGTACTTTTTCTACTTTGAATTTTTCAAAAGCCTACAACTTGAGTACTATTTCAGATAGATAAATGAAATTTCACACGTAAGTAAAAAATCTAATTCTCTACCTTCTATCAAATTTTGAGTAATTTCCGTTGACCGGAAGTACTAATTTACGCTATTTCCGATTTTTCCAAAAACGCATGTAAATTTATAAAGTACTAATAATATTGCGCACTATTATACAAATCTTTACTCAGCGTTCGCTTGGAGCGCAATTGTTTTTTAATGAGATTCTATTCTATTTTTAAAAGTTTAAGTATTTAAAATGGATTAAAAATCATAACTATAGCCCCAGTTACCATCCCCTGTTGTTTTATATAAGAATATTCGAGAAAGTTTAGGGGAGATCACCACCGGTTTATTGTGTATATGAGTGACAGTGGGAAGGGAAGGGGAACGATAAAATTGTCAAACAAACGTGACGTCATTTATGGTTATTCGAGAATAACGGGTGGTCTAGTAATTATTAAAATAATTTGCAAAATAAAACTAATAATTAGGTCAATTCTCAATGCAGTTTTAGTTATTTTTACATCTATAAAAAGATGAAAAAAATTAGTTCCATTATAGTAAATTCAAACTAAAATAGGAGACATATTAATTTTAGTTTTAACTAAATTTTAATCTATTAACTAGTTTTTTAAATTTTTGTTACATTAGTTAAATAATTCTTTTATCCTACTTTTTTTTCTGTTCAAATGTATCTTTAAGTATGAATGTTATAAAATAAAGGCATATTTAATTTATTCAGGTGTAAATGTTTTTGTTTAAGACAGTGCACCTATTAAATACAATAATAACAAATTTATTCTTTTCTAATGTTCTTTTTTTTTTAGATTTCAGAATGTACTAAGTTTAAAATAATAGAATGTGCTCAGATTTTTAAAACAATTACAATTAAACACTCCAGCTCTTTGTCCCTGCTTAACATTAAGTTAACAATATTTGAGCAGTAAAAATGCTTCCCATATTTTTATTATTTTACTTTACCTTTTATATCAGAATAAATCTGACATACGCATGCATTTAAAAAACCATTGGCTATTTTAGTCTGTAAATAGAAATGCCAAAACTGTTTTATAAACAAATGTAAACATGAACTCCGCGATCAAGTAATACCTTCTTCTGATATTTAAACGTACAATTCGTGTATTCTCTAACCTTCGTAGAAGCACTGTCGTTTATTTTAGAATTACATTTAAGAAAATTTTCCGTTTGATTTTGCTTTGATATTTATGTCCCTTGGCGATCCTATGAAGCAAAGTTCCGGCCATTACTCGCTCACTTTTATGTTGTTTGTCAGCGTAAGTAGCAAAAGCAATAAAAGAGGTATACAACGTTCGTGACACAGTGTTACAGTATAGAGGTGACTTGTATGAGGAAATATAAGCGTCATTAAGATTTTGTAACAATTATGCAATCATACAATAATACCACAGATGCAAGTGGCATAGCTTCAACATAACCACAGGCCAACGTTTAAGTTAAACTTTCATGCACTGATTTTGATCAGGTTTTTTAGCAGACGTTTTTAGTGGAGAGGTCTGTCGACTTAATAAATTACTATTAACTTGTAAAATATGGAATATAGAATCTCAAGTATTATATAAAATTTATTCTTGTTATATGACATGTATTAATTTCTTAGCAAATGAAACATTATATACAAAGACTCCTTACGAGCTGACTAAATTACTAAAGTGTTTTACAGTATTGTTCTAGCTACTAAAACCAGTGGCGTAGCGAGGTAGGGTGTCACCCGGTGCGGCACTTAATGGTGTCACCCCCCCAGAGGCGTTGCGACCCTTCCCGGTGACTAACTTTCAAGTTTTCGATTTGCACCCCCCCCCCCTCAAACTTTCGATTAGCACCCCCGTCAAGTTTTTCTCTATATATTTTGCTATTTTTTGCCTTGGTGTCACCCCCCTAAATGGTGTCACCCGGTGCGGTCCGCACCCCCCCCCCCCCCCTCGCTACGCCCCTGACTAAAACATCCATTACATAAACGATGAAAATAAATAAATAAATTTAAAGGTAGACTACACCAATGAGTTCATAAATTTGTGATCTTTTTTTTCAGTGTAGCTTTCTACACTTGATTTATATTAGCACACGACGAGCTATAACATTACTTTTAAATCGATATCTGAACTGTTCAGGTTTTAAGTGCATTATCGATTTTAAGCTAGGAGCCATATATTGGATAAGTCGTCAGGTGATTGACGTAAATTGATTTGATGTCAATACATTTTTGTCCGTAGAAAAACGTCAATGACCCTTCTAAATGTCGACATATGTCATGTACACCATGACTTCAAGAAAGCGTATCAGATTTCTTTTCATCTTACGCGAACAATTATATTTAAAATTAATATTTTTAAAAATTCGTCAAAATAAACTATATAAAATCACTTACACAGTTAATTGAACCCACTACTATGTTTTATGTCTTTTTACAATCTTTATCATCTACCAAAACATCAATAAATATGTTCATCAATCACTTTTTTTCAGCTTATGTGTCATTAGTTTTTATTGCATAAAAATGAAATATTTTGGATTAATCTTTCTTATCTCTGAACTTTAATTGTTCCTTTATTTGTCTTGGCACAGTTAATATACGAGACAGTAAAAGATTCAAATTGGAAGTAATAGAAAGTTAAATGAGACATGACATTTGAATTAGTTTCTTATAACACTTTCAAACAATATTTCTGTAACAAATTGATGTCAAATGAATTAAAAAGTTTGATTTCTACGTGCAGACCAAATTCAAATAAATGTCAAAACTGAGCTTCCCCACTATAATTTTCCTGTGGGTTTGATCCACTGTGTGGGTGGTACGAATAGCCAACATATCCCGGTCTAAAGACAACCGCACCACTGGAGCCAGGACATGTACAGGTTGTGTACGTGTACTTGTTGTACTTTACGTACTCCGCTTCCCTCACAGTTTTACCTGACTTTCAAAAACAGATCTTGAAAGTGTCGTCTGGTTGTGTCAAGTTTTTCAATCAGCTCCAAGTCACACGACACACACTTAAAGTTGTACCAGCCCCCCTCAATGTTTATATTATGGAACATCGCATCCCAGTCATCAAGACTGACCCCAGGACTGTTATTGTCATCAAAACCTACAACACACATGGTCTGTCTCACCTCACTGGCATCAAACACCACGTGTCTGGCTGTCTGCACATTAACCACCCCCCACACCTTGCTGGGTGTGTCCGAGTGTTTACACTTGCCACATGGACAAGTGCCCTTTTTGTCACCCTCTGTGTACTTTTGTACCCAAACCACCATTCCCGTTCCTGTCCTCAACACGTCACGTCCTCTCAAGTTATAACATGGATATTGTCCACTAAAGTTTTGAACTGACTTTGGCCTTTTTCGACTGGCGTATTTGACCTTTATTAAGACCGTTAGGGCAGTCACGGTAAATTAAGGGGAGATGATCCAAGTTAAAATCATTAACAGGTATAAAGTTGACACGACCTGGATTCTTCTTACAGCTGGTATAGTGCTTGTGTAAGTCAGCTTCGCCTCCATAGCAGATCTCAGCTTCATGATTTCCTGGAGTGTTACAAAAGGAGTTTACTAACAATGCTAAATCAAGGTATTTAAACTACAATTTTACCACTTTCTTAAAACGTAAAAAACGTAATGTTGCTCATTTCAAAACTTGATGCTCTATATGGCAGATAAAAGAGAGTTTAACAGTGTGAGTAGAGCTATTGTGTGCCCTACACCACACTCTTATGCTAGTCTCACACCAGAACAAAGCGGACGTCCTATACATACAACATAAGTAACATATCAAATATTAGTGTATGATTTCTATCTTTGTGTTGACTCAGGGGTGTCTGTCGTTAGACTAATTAGACTCCTGTTACGAACAAGTTTGAGACATTACGAGTTTATAGTGGATTTTCACTTAGATTTTAATCAAATATACTAATATTGTTTGGCTGTTCTCACACATTTATTGCATGGTAAGAACAAACAGCTTTCAACAATGCTGTTATAAGATTTTTTTTTGTTTTTTTAAATTGGCGCTGAAAAATGCCATCTCTTTATAGATTTTGGATTACTTCAACTGTTTAAAGTAACACCAAATTAAACGAAATATACTGCTTCGTACTGAATTATTTGCCATTTACACTTATAAAAGTATTAGAATAGAAAATTACAATCCCATTTTAATGGTTTCTTCAAAAGATTATCAGATATTCGAATTAAGGAAAATAACTAATGTGATGGTTATAAAATATGCAAGTGAGGAAAAAAAACTGATAAATGTATCACACAATTAGTTACCTGGTGTAATATTTTCTTTAACGTTTGCTTCTTCCATCTTGCTCGTTCTCTCTTGACATTGAAATTCTTCAAAAACAGGTTAATTCAGATTTTTAAAAATTCATCCTTCAAAAACATATTAACTTTAAATTTAAAAAAAAAAAATCAAATTTTTTTATTGCCCTATATCACAAGCCTCACATGTTTACAAACGCTATTTTAAAAATATTCCTTTATTTTTATTTTATGCGAAGTAAATTCTTCATAACTCTATCACTATTTCATGTTTTTAGGAATATATACTGACAGATCCATAACTTAAAAAGGCTTAAATTAACAACATCAACTGTACAAACTACTTCCATAAATTACACACACCACCGACATAAACTAGACGAATTCATTTCTTAAACTACATAAATGACTACATAAAATATAGAAATTATCACTATATACTCCACACGATACTGCATCAACTGCACATAATTACTACACAAACTACCCATATAAACCACACAAACTGTAAACAAACTACACAAAATTTCTAATAAAATATTGTTTACCTTCACTTGTAAACTCAAGTTTTGTTTTCTTTCCAGCTGTATTCCCCATAATTTGACAAATTTACCGTTGATTAACACAAATTAATCACATCTCACCATACTGTGTAAGCTTATGAACTTTGCAGCTAATTAGAATTTCCTCTAATTTTTTTGTTACATATAAAAAAATAATAATTATAAAATGATTTGATTTCAGGTAACTGTGGTTGAAAGTGTTGAAAAGTCAGGTAAATTTGTTAGCCTTGCCAACACTCACCTGTACTTTCACCCAACTGCCTGCAACATCCGCCTGATCCATGTGGCAGCTGCACTCCGACATCTACAGAGTATTTACAATGCTTATACACAAGAGGTAGGTCTTTGGTAGGTCATAGATAGCTGGTCATTGTTAGTTCATAGTTATGTCATATTATGACTTATGACTCATAAGTTCAGTCACAGGTTATTGTAGGTCATTATTAGGCTGTATTCCACTGATAGGTCTCAAGTTAATACGAGCCACATGTAGTTTGTAGCATATAGTAGGTCATTGGCAGAGGTCATTAACATGTTTCATTTATTGTTAGATGATACATTTTAAAACATGTTACAATGTCCACTAATAAATTCAAGTGTTTTTTTCTTTGTTGTACAGACAGAATAAAGATATTTCTCTGGTGTTTTGTGGAGACTTCAACAGCGCACCTCACTTGGGTGTCTTTCAGTTAATGACGTCACAGTTTATTCCAGCTGATCATGCGGACTGGAGTTCAGGTAAGGGAGTGAATGACAAGTGAGACAGTAGACCTTCCACAGGTGTAAGCAGATTTATAGATAATTTTAACAGACTTGTTCATAATTTTGGTATCAGACAAGGAAGGAAATCTAAAGTTTAGATAAACATGGAAGCCAGAAATATCATCGCTCACCCATTTTTACTTTCTCGATTATACGAAGTATAGAGAAAGTCTTGTAATCGTGCAAAAAAAAAAATCAAGATTTTTACAAATCTCGACGTTTTACACCTCACTGATACGGAAAAACATAATTTTGCAATCTTGTCCGTATGTCTGTGTGTGTGTGTGTCTGTATGTGTGTAAACACGATTACTTGAGTACCGTTACAGCTAGGTTGATGAAATTTCATATATAAGTATTATATCAAAATCGTAGATCCGTATCAACTTTTGAGCGATTTCCGATAACCGGAAGTGGTACTTTTTCGACTATTAATTTTTCAAAAGCCTATACTAATTAAGATAGATAAATGAAATTTCACATGTAAGTAATAGATCTAATTCTCTACCTTCTATCAAATTTTGAGTAATTTCCGTTGACCGGAAGTACTAATTTACGCTATTTCCGATTTCTCAAAAAAACGCATGTAAATTTATAAAGTACTAATAATATTGCGCACTATTACGCACATTTGGTTTTGGTGCTCGCTTGGTGCGCACTTTTTTTTTCTACTAGATTTTATTCTATTTTTAAAACTTTAAAGTAAACAAAAATCATGTCTATATTCCGAGTTTAGATCCCACGTAGTGTTATATTAGAATATTCGAGAAAGTTTAGGGGAGATCACTCCCGGTTTATTATGGTTTAAAATCAGTTTAAAATGACTTTTATATTTTACACTGAATTTTAATATTCCAATTATTTTACCTCTAACTGTGTTTGTTTTTTATACTAATTCATGAAGTACTTTTATTTCACTCTTTTAAAAATAAATAGCTTTACAAATTATGATCAACATAAAGCTACATAACTCCCAATTGTCTCCCTTTGTCATCTAGCTGGCAAGGAAGAAAAGTTGTCTACCCTAGAACTGCAGCACCCAATGAATATAGTGAGTGCTTGTGGTACGCCAGCCTACACAAACTTCACACAAGGCTTCCAGGCAACTCTGGACTATATTTTTATAGACTCTGACAAGCTCCAGGTCACGCAAGTAGTCCCCATGCCAAGCCATGATGATGTCACTCAAAACGTCGCCCTGCCTAGTGATGTGTTTCCTTCTGATCACATAGCTTTGATAAGTGATATCAAATTTAAATCATTCTAACCATATATCATTTATATGTGGCCTCAAATTTAGATTTTAATGTTTGAAAATAAAATTTTACGATCAAAAGATTTTTGATTTAATTATTGGTTTTTGTTGTCTTATTCACAAAATGATCTATAATGTGGGTCACAATTTATTAAACTAAAAGACTTATGTTTCCCAAGCCTAGAAACGAAAAAAACCCCATAAAATCAGTACAAAACAACTTTCAAAAGTCTATTGTGAACTTGTCATTGTAATCTTAGATAAATGATCTTATGAAAAATGAAAACAACACCAGTACATAGCACAATCTGCCTTACAGAAAAATGTTCAAGCTTCCACATTTAAAAGCTTAAAACATTTAAAAACCTTCCTTAAGTTGCTGGCTGTAAATGCTTTACATACTTGTAATAGTCCTGAAAAGTATATGTAATCATACTAAATTGAAAAAAAATCTTTAAAAAAATATTGCTAGCGATAAAATAAGTTACATTTTAAAAACTTAAAGATGTTTGGGAACCATCAATTACACATCAATACTCAGAAGTGTTAAAATTTACATAAATAAACCGGTAGTGATCTCCCCTAAACTTTCTCGAATATTCTTATATAAAACAACAGGGGATGGTAACTGGGGATATAGTTATGATTTTTAATCCATTTTAAATATTTAAACTTTTAAAAATAGAATAGAATCTCATAAAAAAAACCATTGCGCACCAAGCGAACGCCGAATAAAAACGCGTATAATAGTGCGCAATATTATTAGTACTTTAAAAATTTACATTAGTTTTTAGAGAAATCGGAAGTAGCGTAAATTACTACTTCCAGTCAACGGAAATTACTCAAAATTTAACAGAAGGTAGAGAATTAGATCTTTTACTTACATGTGAAATTTCATTTATCTATCTGAAATAGTACTCAAGTTATAGGCTTTTAAAAAATTCAAAGTAGGAAAAGTACCACTTCCGGTTATCGGAAATCGCTCAAAAGTTGATACGGATCTACGATTTTGATAAAATACTTATATATGAAATTTCATCAACCTAGCTGTAACGGTACTCAAGTTATCGTGTTTACACACGGACAGACACACACACAGACACACACACAGACACACACATACACACAGACATACGGACAAGATTGCAAAATTATGTTTTTCCGTATCAGTGAGGTGTAAAACGTCGAGATTTGTAAAAATCTCGATTTTTTTTTTTTTTGCACGATTACAATACTTTCTCTATACTACGTATATACGAGAAAGTAAAAAAAAGGAAGAAAACAAAACACAACACAATCCAAAATTATTTAATAACAATAATTTTACTTATTTGCTGTTTATTTTTGTGTGGAAGTGAGCATATTCCGAGAATTTAAAAATAATTTAAGCTGGTCTGGATGATAAGTGATGCATGACTTGGTAAATATACTTAAAAAAAAAAGTAAAAAATAAAAATATTGACATTGCACGTTTGATGAAAATCTTGTGAGTCCATGATGCTTTTATCTGCTGAAAATAGTTGCATAAATCACCAACCACGGCCACGATCGTTTCCATTAACAATTTCTACTCCAGCATCTTGAATAAGCCTTTTTGCTTCAGAAATAGCGGTTTTGCTCCCAGATAACTCAACAGAACTTCTACCAGATGAGTCGCCATCACGTGACACCTTTTTCCGACAACCACTGTCAGCTTCCATGTCTCGCCGTCTGATTCTATGTCTCGTCGTCTGATTCTATGTCTCGTCGCCTGATTCTATGTTTCGTCGTCTGATTCTATGTCTCGTCGTCTGATTCTATGTCTCGTCGTCTGATTCTATGTCTCGTATTCTGCTTCCACCACGACCGATGATTCTGCCTACTTCAGATGACTCCACATAAATTGTTTCAGATTCGCCACCACCATCACCTCCAAAGCCTCTACCACCACCGCCGCCACCACCACCACCACGGCTTCCACCTTCCATCGCCGCTATCACGTTCTCTTCTGCCCTATCCTCCTCCACCACGGCCACGCCCCCCGCGATATCCACCAAGTCTACCTCCACCACCATTATTATAACCACAGCTAAGGCATTCTTCAATTAATCTCTTGGCATTTTCAATCTCTTCCGTTGTTCCACTGATTTCAACAGATTTCATTCCATCCTCATCCTCATCTATGGATATTTTGATTCTGGCATTAGTGTCTTGTTCTAGATATCTGATTTTACATCCACCACGACCTATAAATCTTTCCCACATTTGAAGACTCAGCCATCATTGTTGTTGAACTTACGCCGCCAGCACGGCCTCCGCCAAAAGATCCGCTAAATGACATTTTGTCTAGATGTGTTGAGAACGCTACAACTAATAAAACTGATGGTGTAGATAAAACATTAAGGCTGGATGGTTGAAGAGTGGACAAAGAATTAGAACAGTGAAAGCTGAGTGGTTGAAAGGAAACGGTTAAGGGTTGACAACATCATGGTGCCTCCGTCTCGTGAACATCTGGCTTATGTTTTCACGCGCACGTGTAGCGGCTTGACGTTGGGGGCGTGCCATTGTTTCTGCGGTAGCCACACGTACTTGGGGCTGTACTCTGGCAATGTTATCAGGTTGAGTGGCCGCTGGTTCACCTTGTTGATTATTGTTATTTGCTTGTCCATCTCCATCGGCTTGTGTGCCATCAGGGACTTGATCTCGTCTCAGCATTCTTAGCTTGATGGATGTTATAACAAATTTAAAAGACCGTTGCCCGATTTCTGCCACTTTGCGCCATGATTTTTTAACTGCTGTGAAAATTTAAAAACATTATCATGTTAATCGTAACTAAATGTAAAACCGAAACGCAAAACGTTCACTAGAAATTCTACGGTGTGCGTAGGCATGTGTGTGTCTGTGTAGCGGAGTTTGCGCTGGTTTTTTGTGACGATAAGTGACAGACGTGATGTTTTTTTATGGATGGCCCCTGAAACCCACAGTTATCCAACAGATGACGGGTAGTCTAGTAAAATTTAAAATTATTTAAATAATAGGAGCTAATAGCTTACACCAAGTCACTAAGAAAGTACAGCACGCACATGCCAGCAATGTTAAAAGAAGTCGAGGATAATTGGGTCCTGCAGTGTACCTCTTTGTGACTGTTGCTTCGTCACTGCAGATAAAAAAACATAATTTATAGTCGTTGCGAGTTAACAATAAAAATGTATATGACTGGGTGGTTGGATGGGCTGTTCATTGGATGATAGGTTGGGTGTGCGAGTGGATATATATAATAAAAAATATGATATTTACACTGCTTCACAGTCGCCATTGTGGCATATTCCCACGTTTTCTTTAACTTGCTTTCGCCTCTGTTTGTTTGTTTGTTTGTTTGTTTTTCCAATCAAATCTTGCGATCGAAATTTCGTGCACTTCCCAGTTAGCTAGCGCGCTGAAATTTTTAGGGAAGCTTTGTTTCGGATGACAATAGAATATTCAACTGTTATTATTACTAAATTGATCCATGGAAACATTTTATTGATCATTTTATACCCCTATATAATTGTACAAAAACGTGGGGAAAAAAGGGACATAACCCAGTAACTGTAATTTGATGAAAAGAAGGTTCGGTACTCTCCCTCTTTTTGCTTACTGAGTAGTTGTCACAACTGGTGGCCAGTATGGGGGAGACGATATGGTCGAGTGGTTGGGCACACGATTGCTAACCCGCTCGACACGGGTTCAAATCTATGTGTTCTAGTCAGTAACGTATTCACACAACGTGTTTTTTACGAGTTGTCTTTTTACGAGTTGTCTTCGTTTACCCAAAAAAAAAGTGAAAAGATAAAATCGATAGCAAGATTTCAATGCAAACAAACAGACAATGACTAAAAGTAGAAAATAATAATCATTAAAAACGTTTTAAAAACCCACGTTTTCTGATTGAACTAAAAAGTAGAAAATAAATGCTATCACTCTACTATAAGCGATCAAAAACGTGGGGCGCCGTGATTTTCTTACAGTTTCTAATACTGTTGACTCTCTACAAGCTCCCTAATAAAAGTCAATAGTATTATCTAATCAATAGTAATATAACTTTTACTTCGGCGCCCCACGTTTTTCATAGCTTATAGTAGAGTGATCGTTTGCATTATTGTGATGTATAGCATTTATTTTCTACTTTTTAGTTCAATCAGAAAACGTGGGTTTTTTTAAACTTTTTTAATGATTATTTTTTCAGGTCTTCACACCAGCCAACCCATTTGGCCAAGCCTTCACATCCGGCCGAAGCATCTCCTATATATATATAGAGAGAGAGATAATAACTATATCTATAGATCTATATATATAGATAATAACTATGTCTATAGATCTATATTGTCTTTATTTTATAAAACATAGTTTATATTGATATATATATAGAGAGAGAATCTATATATAAATATCAATATAAACTGTTTTATAAAAAATACAATATAGATCTAGATCTATAGCTATAGTTACAAATCGAATTTCACGGAAAACTGAAAATTTCAAGTGACTTCGAATATTAAAAGCATTGATCTTACGGACTGTCGAAAGGAATACTACTAAAAGTAGTATTATTTGAGGCATTATTAAAAATAGTAGAATTCTAGAATGTTTATATGGCGACTTTTCAAACGGCAACAAACTGCATACACTCGAGGTTATTAAAGGTGCAGCTTTGTTAAGGAAAGTAATTGTCTTGCGGTGCGTAAATTTTCAGCTGGCTTCATATTTACATTATAATCGATATTACAAACTTTAACTTGTTACCTCGTGCTCAAAATTTATTTTGTCTTTCTTCGTCATGTTTGGTTAAAACATGCTATTTAGTCAAGACTTGGTGATAATATGACAACATTGTGTACGAAACTTGTAGAACCAGCTCTAAATATTCTCAATTTCTATA